AAAGTCAGGGCTGGCCAAATAAGCTCAGTGGATTAAAGCGCCTGCAAGCAGGCCCAGAGGCCCACGGTTTGATCCCCAGGCCTGCTATGCTGGCCCAGCCCAGCCCTGCCCCCGGGGCATGCTGAGAATTGAGACTGGGCCTGGTGGCGCAAGCACCTATAATCCCAGCTCTTGGGAAGCTGTAAACAGACGGATCACTAGGAGTCTGATGGCATGATAAGCATATTTATAAGCAGAGAGGAAGATGCCTCAGAAAGCAGTGGAGAGGCTGCAGATCTGTGGTGTACAGAGGATAAGTGCCAGAAGCGGGATCTTGGGAGACAGGCAGGGGCAGCAGCCACAGCACGGAGGAGCGGTACGCAATGAATGAGGTGCATCCTTCTGCTGGGATTTGAGAAGCAGAAAATTGGTTTCCCCTTCTACACATGCAGCCCTACCACTCTGTCAGAGGGGTCCTATCTGGAGATTCTGCGAGCCGCAAGGGCTTCTCCAAGTGATGGAGGATGACCTGGCAAGAAACTGTGCCTGAAGCACAACCAGGCTGCTCTGGCCTGTGTGGCCTCCTGGCACCCTGGCACTTTCTGAACCTAGAAACGGGTGGAACAACCAAGGCAGCTGTGCCCAAGGAGGCCAGAAAGTATCAGACAGAGTGATGTGTATGAGATGCAGAGAGTGGAGATGTCAGAGCTGGAGGTTTCTGTGAGGTCACAGGCAGGTAAAGCAGGAGTAGACAGTGGCCCTGGGAAGGAGACTGAGGTTGGTGGCCACACACTGCAGATGACCAGACTCAGGTGTGGCTAATGACAAGCGGGGGGGGGGGGGAACGACATGGAAGGAGCCTCCCAGGAGCTGCTTCCTGAGGCCTGGCTCCAGACTCTTCTGTTCCTGGGCTCAAGCTGTCTCAGTGGTAACCCCAGGAACAGAGAAGTTGGAGCAGCCAAGTGTGGATGAGCACTGAGATTCCATCTTACTCCAGAAAGCATGGCTGTCATCATCAAAAAATCAGTAACAATACATGCCGGTAAGAATGCAGGGATGGGCCAGGGAGATGGCTCAGTGGAATAAGTGCTTCCCTGGCAAGCACAAGGGCCTGAGTTCAATTCCCAGTTCCACAAAAAAAAAAAAAAAAAAGCAGGGAAAAGGAGAACTTTTGACATTGTGAGTGGGAATGTGAACTAGTACAACCACTATGGAGGGGCCAGGGAGATGGCTCAGTAGAATAAGCGCTTTCCTGGCAAGTGCAAGGGCCTGAGTTCAATCCCCAGTTCCACAAATAAATAAATAAACAAATAACCCATACTATATTCACATTTATAGCTGAAAGCAGCCTATATGTCTATCAAGAGATGTTTATCAAAAGATGCATGGATATTACAATGCGTTATTTATATAAAGAAAGTACTACTCAGTCATAAAGGAGGATAAACCTGAGTCATTTGCAAGAAAATGAGACCATAATGTCAGGTGAAATAAATCAGAAACACAAGCTTAAATATTGCATGTGACAAACCCAAAGCATAAATAAATTAAAGAGCAAAACTGAAGAAAGATAATAGAGAACCAGGAGAGAGACCTTCTGTAAAATGAAAGGGACCGAGAGATGGAGGGAGGTGGGAGGGAGGGTGCGAAAGGGGACATAGAATTCAGATGTGTTGGGGCCAGGGAGATGGCTCAGTAGAATAAGCACTTGCCTGGCAAGCACAAGGGCCTGAGTTCAATCCCTGGTTCCGCCAAAAAAAAAAAAAAAAAAGAATTCAGATGTGTCGTGTATCTGTCTCAGCTCCTCACAATGAATGTAATCAGTCTATATGCAAACACAAACTAATAAAAAATGCATTTTTTAAAAGTGTGGATGACTCAGAGAAGACAGAACCCAAGGTAAACTTTTGTATAAAGGTTATGACTGAGAGCATCTAGGGCTTGGGAGTGCTACAGCAGAATGAGATCTCAGAACAGAACGCTCTGGGCATCAGGGCCTTTTACTCACAGGAGTGGGGAACTGATAATCACTTCTGACTTTTGCAACCAAAATTCTCTGACTGCAAAATACAAGCAGCAGCCAGCTATGGCGGCACATGCCTGTAATCGCAGCACTCGGGAGGCTGAAGGAAGAGGATCACTACAAAGTTTAAGGCCTGCCGGGGCTACATAGTGAGCTCAAGACCAGCATGAGCTTCATAGTGAGACCCTACCTAAAAAATAAACAACCAGATAGACAGACAGAAAGAGGACGCAGGGGCCAAGGGTTCAATTCCCGGGCCTGCAGTGCCAGCCCTGCCTCTGGGGCAAGCTGAGAGGCAACTGAGACTGGGCATGGTGGTATGTGCCTTTAATCCCAGCTCTTGGCTGTAAACAGGCAAATCACTTCTAGTAGTGAGACCCTGAACACCCTGTAGACCATTCCCTAAAAAAATACAAAAAAAAAAAAAAGAATTTTTGGGGCAAGGGAGATAGCTCAGTGGAATAAGTGCTTACCTGGCAAGCACAAGGGCCTGAGTTCAATCCCCAGTTCCGCCAAAAAACAAAAACAAAACAACAACAACAAACAAACAGTGCCTGCCTGGCAGGCACAAGGTACTAAGTTCGGTTCCCAGTACCAAAAAAGAAAAAAAGTAAGGCTGGGTGTGGTAGCACACACCTATAATCCCAGCATTTGGGAGTCTGAGGCCAGCCTGAGCTACAAACTGAGTCCAAGGCCAGCCTGACCATGGTGAAACCCTGTTTCAAAATAGAAAAACAGGCTGGGGAGATAGTTCAGTGATCTAAGTGCCTACCTGGCAAGTGCAAGGACCAGGTTCAATCCCAGTAACATATGCCATGTTGGCCCCAGAACCCCAGGCACACTATGCTGGCCATGGAAACCATTTGTGGTGGTTTACACCTGTAATCCCAGTGCAGGGAAGGCCGAGACAGGAGCATCACTATGAGTCTGAGCTGCATAGTAAGACCCTAATTTTAAGTAGCTATTTGCACCTCAATTAAGACTTTTTTTTGGTGGAACTGGGGATTGAACTCAGGCCCTTGCACTTGCCAGGCAAGCACTTATTCTACTGAGCTATCTCCCTGGCCCCAAAACTTTTGTTTTATATGGAATCAGGGATCAAGCTTGGGACCTTACATAGACTTTTTTTTTAAAAAAAAAAATGCATTTACTATAGGATCTACAGGGTCTCAATATACAGATTGGACTCTTAATGATCCTCCTGTTTTCAGCTTTCCAAGCACTGGGATTACAGGCGCCCACAACACCCAGTCTCATTCACTGTCTCAGCATGCCCTGGGGGCAGGGCCAACACAGCATGCCTGGTATCAAACCCAGGAACTTTAGTCCGCTGAGCTATCTGACCGACCCTCTTGCATAGACTCTTCATAATGAAGTGGAGGGTGCTACATATCTCCTCGAAAGTGTGCACTAAGGAAACATCTCTTTAGTTATCAATAATATGGCAAATACAATTTGATATTTGCTCAGGAAACCCATCTGTATTTTATTCATCCCTTACTGAGAAGCTGGGAGAATGGAAGGTGCCACAGGAGAATGAGGTCCAAGTGAGTAAGCCTGGGCACAAGTCAGCGCAGAAGCCGAGGCTGGCTCCAAGGCCCCCAGATCCCCATCATGAACCTCTCATCCCTGGCACACCAAGAGTCACTTTCTATCTGCTTGCCAGAGCCTACCTGCTAAGATGTGGGCTTCATCCCCTTCCAGTCCCATCACAGCCCCAAAGTCCAGGACTATGACTCATCCTCTGAAAGCAGCAGCGCCAGGACATGCCAGCCCTCTCTTCTGATGCTTCTTCAGTAGCCTCATGCAAATCCTGTGCCTGGCATTTAAGGCTTACATAGACTTCAGTTCCAGTTAGCTTCAAACCTCCTTCTCCACCACCCTTGGCTTCTCAGCCATGGGCTGATTTGCTTCCTCCAGCCCCACCCTCCTGCAGAAGATCCTGTCTGCCTCCTTATTTGTTCCCAGTATCCCAAACCAGCAGCCTCTAAATCCCAGCATTTCCTCACAGCCTGCTGGTTTCTGAAAGCTTTTTAGACATCCCTGCTTTGCCACCCACTGCACCAATTCCAAACCAGTTGCTGGGGATTTAGTAATCTAGTCTCAGCCAATCTCATCCCTGGTCCCCCACAGATGGCTTCCAAGGGGATCCACAGAGCACAGTCGATCTGTATTCAGTAATGACTTAGAACTTGGACATCGTCCCAAGGATGGGGTGTTGGGAAACTGTTGCTTTCCTAACAGGAAAAGGCCACAGCTTCTGTCAACGCTGCTGATCACACTTCCTCCAAGAAACCCTCAGGGACTTCAGGCTGGCTTTGGGACAGGAAGTGCAGCCTGCGGAGGAAGTGCTACAGGGAGGAGGACAGGGGAAAGAGGAGAACTGGGGAGGTTGTGCTGAACCAGAAAAAGGAGCTTCCTTGGTCCTGTCATTCTGTCCCTGTTTGAGAGAGATGACAGTAGAAGGATGCCCAGAGGGAAACCAACGTATTCAGAGGTGGCCAGCAGGGAACGCACTAAAGAAACCACGGTAAAGCCCCAAGCCCTTATCAGAACTCCCCTCCAGGACCCCACTGGCTTCGTGTGCTATGCTACATTAAGAGGTGCTCCCTCTGGGGCCATGCGGCAGCAATGGGCCTTTCTGCAGTGCAGACTTTCCTGTCAGGCTCACTGGGCTCCTGTGGAACTGAGCTAGCAACCCCGCAGAGCCCCAAACAAGAGCTCTTTGCCAGTCACAGCGCTGCCAGAACCATCTCCCTCACAGCTCTGAGCTGTGCAGGCAGAATGGAGAGAGCACAGGTTGCAGAATTTTTCATCCCCCCCC